GTTAGAAGTTCATATAATTGTATAATAAAATCTAAAATTTTCCCAAGTATTTGTTTAAATGAGGCTAATATTTTTTGGATATATTTCGCACGCTTTATTTTTGTAAAAAAATGTATATTAGGGTGACGTGATAACTTTTTATATAATGGTGTGAGTATATCTAGGACAATTTTAAGATTTAAAAAAATAAACAAATAAATCTGCCTTGTAAATCTTATTATTTTTTTAATAAAATTTTTACTAACGAGAAATACTTATCAAACTTATTTATCATGATTTAAAACCAAGTTGAAAGTTCCCTTTAAATAGTTCAGTGAACTTTGGTACAGGGTTAGTGGAGGATATCCCACTTTGAGTTTAGAAGTTTTGTTACATTCTTGACAACAAACTTTTTACCCTAACTCCTCTTTACGACGACCTGAAAATATTACATTCAACAATGATTTGAATGCAACAGAACTACTTTCATATCCAAACCTATCAGGTAACTAATACAAGAAAATTAATGAATACCGAAATTATTAAATAATTCGCTTAGCCTTGTATGGAAACTGTAGTTTTTAAACCGTTGGCTGGTTTCAAAAATTCATAATATCGAAATTTCCCCATCACCGGACTAACTGAAATTTAATTTGTCAATATTATTTTCAGTTAAAGTTCTGTCAGTGTTCTATATATATAAAAATGGATCCCTTTTTCCTTGGTCACGGCATCACGCGTGAATGGCTGGACCGATTTCATTTTTTCTTTTTTTATTATATTTGTTATTATTAGGAGAAGGTTTCTATGTAAGAAAAAATCACGAAAATTACAAAAAAAAATAACTAGAATATATCCCTTTTTTTAAAAAAAAAAGTGTGACTCGCAATAATAATCAAGTAGAATAAAGAATTGGAACAATGAACACTTTGTTCTTGGAATAATTTTCATTTGTTAATATACCAATAGAATAGAATTCAATAATCACAGCTTAGAAGACAGAATATTGTCTATCGGGTCAGTTATACTTAATAAAGAAATTAACTTCATTCAGATTAAAAGGTAACAGATATGTCTTTATTATAGGGCGGTACGAAGTTCACTGGGTCAGCTACTCGTAGTTAAATATATTTTCATTCTGTTTATCTTTTAATTATTAGAGAATTTCGACTTTCTACTTTACTTATTCAAATTATTCAATAAAAATCCATTATCTTTGCAACAACATTGCCACTATACAAAGAGCGACCATCATCAACTATCCATTTTTCTTGCATCAATACTCCTTAGAAATGCTACAGACATCTTATATATTATAACTGTTTAAGTAAAATATTAATTTAGGAAAAAGTAGGATTTATCCTTACCATGGCGTTATTTCTCATCATGATAGCTAAAAAATAAAATTATAATAAGCATAACAGAGAGTTATAATTTATAAATTATATTTATGAAAATAAAACGAATGTTAACGGAGGTACTACGCAGTACTACGCGTCATGAAACGACTTGTCCGTTAACTACTGATTCCATTTTATTAAACGAATGTAGAATTCAAAAATATCTATACATTTATTAAAACGTACATTTTTTAATTGATGTGTTGATATTAATAAAAATTTACTGTTTCTTTGTTATTTATTTTAAGATACAGATTTTTAAATTTTTCTAACATCATATTTCAATTGGACTACAATGTGCTTGAATTAAATTTACTGTTAAATATAATACAAATACGACATCACATTTAATCATGATTATATGATTTTATTTTAAAGATACACATTAAATATTTTGTGATTTCTGGTGTTCTACAATATTTTAAATTTACTGCTACAATTATATACAGCTTCAGGCCCAGACAGAATTTCCAAGAAAACTGTAAAACTTACTTATATTTATATTATAATAAAAATTACAGAAACGAAACATATATCTAAGACTGCACGATTGCCATGATGTTAGTATAGCAATGTCATCATTTCTTGCGTGGTATCAAGATTTCCTTTATCACACGTTCAGGTATTCGTTTCGCGGAGTCAGGAATGTCACTCGCTATTATTTATCAGAAGTTATACCTATTATATAGTATTTAACCAGCGATGTTCCTTAAATTTTCTAAATGTTATGTGATTTTATATGGTTTCATATCATATACATTAATTAAAAACACTTTACAATTAATTCCTAAAATAATATTTACTGTACTTCTATAGTTACATTATGTATTTAAGAAATATAATAAAAATATTTAAAATGGTAAACTTTAATTTATATTCGGATAACTAAGTTTCAACGTTTTGTGTAATGAAAATGTTCTCTTATTTATAAATGGACTTAGTCATTAATATTATTACCTCGTCATGAAATTTCAAATCTGGTGTCGTTCTGGTTCATTAATTTTAACATCTTATTATTTTTAAGGGCGAAATGTACAGATTTTAATGTTTTTTTTGTGTACTTCTGTCTTACTAATTATTTGATTGACAAAATAATGCAGTAGATACGAATGTTGGTTGTTTCTTTAAAGGTTGGTACATTTATAGTAAATTTTATTTAAACTATGTTCTTCTTGAAGCTTTTTCAAATTTTGTAAAGTTGAAATTGTTATTTTTGTTAAGAAAAGTTTAATTCCACCTTACATAAAAATATTAAATTTTTTTTAAACATTTTAGCAAAAAAATATTTAGAAAAAATCTCAGTATGGCAAGAAAAAATGATTATAAATAATTAAACCATAGAGATCCACTATTTCACAGGAAGTTATAAACAATTTCTTATAATTTGTCACTTTTTTAGTTTTCTACGAATGTCTTCTAAACAAGACTAAAATTCGTTAACATTAGCTAGCACGTTCCACATCTTCTCTAATTGCTCTTGTTTAATATTTGAGCTAAGGACACGTCGTGAAACTTATGGTCGTCTCTCCTACAAACATGCAAGTTTACAAGTATGTATAAGAGAGATAGCAATTTTTAATTATCTTCTTTATAGAAATACGAGAAAAGTGAAGTAGAAATTCTTCGTAAGTAGGCCACCGTACCAAAAAAAATGTTTTTTGAAGATTTTATAGTGACTTTTAATGTTTATTAGTCTTTTCGAGATAAAAAATTGGGAAGTCATTTCAGAAAATGGAATTTATTAGAACTAATAAAAAATATCATAATAAAAAGAAATAAAGTTTTCTTGCTTAAATATTTATTTATAAAGCTTTATATAATTTTATAGTAATTGTTGATAAAATTATTCAGGTTTAATGTTTCATGGTAACACTTTAACAAAAAATGCAGGTAAGTTGGTGTGATAAACACAATTTATATTTTCTTTAGTGAATAAAATTTAATATTAGAAGCTAACCACGGTTAAAAAACTTGATTATGTAGATTTAAAAACTAACTACTTTTTATGAAATAGGTGGCAAATGGAGGTTTTGTAAAGAGAACTTATGCCATTTTTTCATATGCTTATTCCAGACCAGTTCATCTGGAAAAACCCTTTCGAAAATTCTCATTGGTAAAATGGAATGGAAAAGAGTATGGCATGTTTCTGATTTTATCTCAAATACTCCTGGCTGAGAATGATATTGCATATACTTATGGAAATTTTCTTATAACAAAAAATCATAAATAATTACCTGCTAACAATCCTCCTACAGGTTAAAGCCTTGGGAGGAATGTTTTTTGAAAAACATATGCACAAATTATGTTAAAACGTCATTTTAAAATTTACATACTAACCATTGACATTGACATTTCACGGGTTCGTACAAAGTGTGTACAGCTAACTGATTACAAATATATGAAAGACTATTTTATTCCTTACTAGAAGACCTGGCGAACTTCGTATCTCCCTATAATCAAGAAATATCTATTACGTTTTTTTATTTATATTTTTGGAGTTTATCTGTAAGCCATAAATCTCCGTGTTTTGAAGTGCGACAGAAAGATTGACATATTAGTTACTTGTCAAATCTAATGTCAAAAAAAAACATTTGTATGGGAAATAGAAAAGGGCTGTTTTTATGGTTTCCCCAGTAATGAATCAATTTTTTTCAGCTTTTATACCTTCCCTGAACCTCCACAAACATTTCAAGACTATGATAAGATAAATCCGTTCAGCTGTTCTCGAGTTTTAGCGAGACTAAGGAACAGCAATCCATTTTTATATATATACTAGCTGTTGCCCGCGACTTCGTCCGCGTTAGTTTGGTCAAGAGTAATATATGTAGGTATAGCTGACCAGGCGAACTCTATTCCGTCTTAGAGGCCATAAATAATCAGGTTTTTCCTGTTTCAATCAAACAGAATGATTGACATATTAGTTAGTTGTCAAATCTAATGTCAAAAAAAGCGTTTGTATGGGAAATAGAAAAGGGCTGTTTTTAGGGTTTTCCCGGCAATTATTCCAATTTTTCTCACCTTTTATACCTTCCCTGAACCTCCACGAACATTTCAAGACTAAGATAACATAAATCCGTTCAGCTGTTCTCGAGTTTTAGCGAGACTACGGAACAGCAATCCATTTTTATATATATACTAGCTGTTGCCCGCGACTTCGTCCGCGTTAGTTTGGTCAAGAGTAATATATGTAGGTATAGCTGACCAGGCGAACTCTATTCCGTCTTAGAGGCCATAAATAATCAGGTTTTTCCTGTTTCAATCAAACAGAATGATTGACATATTAGTTAGTTGTCAAATCTAATGTCAAAAAAAGCGTTTGTATGGGAAATAGAAAAGGGCTGTTTTTAGGGTTTTCCCGGCAATTATTCCAATTTTTCTCACCTTTTATACCTTCCCTGAACCTCCACGAACATTTCAAGACTAAGATAATACAAATCCGTTCAGCTGTTCTCGAGTTTTAGCGAGACTAAGGAACAGCAATCCATTTTTATATATATAGAAGATATAGAAGATTAAATAGAGTGACCCTTAAAGAATAAAGAAATAAATTCCGTGAAAATGTCTTAAGAGTAATAATTTTTACAAAATTCAATATGGGTTAAGGAGATATACTAATCACATTTATTTAATATCTTTAAAAACAAAGTTGAAAGGTCCTTTGAAATAGTTCAGTGAACTTTGGTACATGGTCGGTGGTAGACCTCTCCATTCGAGTTCGAAGTTTTGTATAATTTTTGAAAGTAAACTTTCTAACTCTAACTCCGCTATACGACGACCTGAAAATATTATAATCAATAATAATTTATATACGTTACATCTATAGTCATATCCAAACCTATCATGTAACTGGCACAAGAATAAATGAATAACGAAATTATTTAACAAAATACGCTACATTAGATCACAGTGGAAGTTTTAAAACATTAGGCTTTTAATAATTTCTTTAAAAAAGTCATAAATTTTACTTCTTTGTCACCTCAACCTTTTAAGTATCGGCCATATCCAGCTTTTTATTTCAAGAAGTTATATTATTATAGAAAAGAACCTTTACCTATACAAATTCTTGCGCCAAATCCGAAAGGGTTGTATGCAAATGGATGTGCATTTCCGTGATACAGAGGGTGATCCTTGTCAACCAACCATCTTTCGGGAATAAATTCATTAGCTCTGGGGTACTGACTTTCCATCTTCGAAAGATACTGGTGAGGAAATACTACGAACATCTAAAATACAACACATTAAGATTCTCAATTCTCAATTGTAAGACTTGATTGAAAAATTATTTGTTATTTTATGTAAATAACTGAAAAACTAAAATGGTAATTTATAAATTATTCATTGTCTTCGAAAATAATGTTACAAAAGTTGATATTATAAGTTATTTTAAACATTTTATTTCAATCGAAAATCATGTATTTAAAATATTGGTTAGTAGTTAAATATATCAAATTTTATTTACATCTTTTGGTATTTCGTATCCTAAAAGATTATACTCCTTTGTACACTGTCTGATGTTTCCACCAGCAACTGGCATTACTCTTAAAGACTCCTTGATGCAGGCCTTTAGAAAATACTTTTTTTCGTCTCCAGAATTAACTTCCTGTCGCAGTGTGATCTGTTTTTCAGGATGGCTTGCAAGAAGGTATAAGACGCAACTCATGGTATTTGCAACCTAAAGAAATACGAATAATAATATAGCCTATAATTAAGAAAAATATTCTTACATAAATGTTTAATATTTCACTGAGTAAAAACAAAGAAATTCTAATCGCATATTTTAACGCCAAGTGGATAAAAGAGTTCATATAAAAAAACGTTTCAAGGTTTAGACGTAAACAGAAGGTATAAATCACTCTATATAACCAATATTGTAGTGTACGCAGACATAAAGGACTAACTTGACGAGCATAATTTATCAATTTTACCGTATCAACGCCAGTAAACAGTAAATCGCCAGCCATAATGAGGGCAATTTTTTCATCCACTTCGAGTAGTTTTTCCAGAACACCCTTTTTATCATCGTCACTATGACCCCTTTGGCTTAATTCATCTTTTGCTTTCAGTACTAAACTTCTTGTAATACTGTAAAAATATAGCGTTTGTACATACAAATAAAGAGACATATTTAACATGCAATTTATTATATGTATACATATTAATTATTATACATTTACCTGTCTATTTCGGAAAATACTTTCATAGCTCGTTTAAAAGCGGGCGTTGGATAATATCTCCATAGACTTGGCTTGATATCTATGTCTTCAGATATTGCAAAAAACTCATGAATAAGTGTTATTAGACGTCGTGCTACTGAATCTGATTCCAAGTTTTCATTGAAGGTATTCAATCGTCTTCCTAAGGCCACAACACTGACAGATTCCAAGGCCCAAAGGTACATTAAATAATCGAAGTTTTCTGTTATCATTCCCTCTCGGTCTCTTAAATCCTTTATTCTGTATAATAAATAATTAAAATCCTTGGCCCACATATTAAGAACTTGGTTAGTTACGTGTATGTTATAAAGCTCAGTATGAAAAGAATTTTTGTATCAATTTGTTTTAAGGTAATATTATTTTGTAATTCCTATTACTAGATGTCGAGCTAATAGTTGAAAAAAGTTTGAAATTTATTGTAATTATGTGTTATTTTAAAACTACCTTTGGACCAAATCCTTAGCAACTTCACCAATGGGCTCATCGTACAGTTTTATATTATCTGGATGCATTATGATAGGGTTAACTAAAGAGCGCAGTCGCTTCCATTTCTCACCATGACTAAAATAATTTATTTTATTTTATAATATTTATTACAACTTACTCATCATTTTTTAATATATATTTTTCAATAATGCTCACTCGCTTATTAAACCAGTGAGACCCGGTGCACCGCCTTTTGGTTGGTTATAGAAGTTCCTATAATGATACAATACATCAAAACCGGGTCGAATTGGCAGCCAATTTTCTCCACGCAACACCTGTGCCAACAATTGAAATTATGTTGTAACTGTTACGTCAACATATACGAGTATTATGAACAAAAGTAAACATAAATAAAGGAAACGAAATTTGTAAAAGAAAAACGTACTTGCGCCATGCTATCTGGATCAAAAACAAAAATTGCTGGTTTTCCAGCATATACACTATTTAATCTCACAAGAGGTCCGTAAGTTTTGTATAACTTTTCTTGAAATTTAAATCCATTACATTGATAAAGCGAACCTGAAAAAATAAGTTGATTAAATTACAGTACCTTGAAAATATGTATATAATAATGGTAAGTAGTATCGGAATCGGAATTTTACTGCCCGAAGGACACACTTTAGAATCGTAAAGAGGTATCAAAAAATATGCTAACTCTGATATTATTCAAAGCCAAGAATAAACAGTCTTATGCAATTAGCACTAGCTATTAGCAATAAGCAATCTGCAATAACTTATTGCAAATCTAAAATTAAGAGTTTTGTACAGAGCTCTTTAAAAGTACATAGTAGAGCTCTCTCTTGCAAATCTTGCAGTTATAAAATAATTATTTAAACAATAAAAATAGCACCCACCCCCCGGAAAAAAATGGTGAAGCTGTCCTATAATAGGTAATGAAGACGGCCCTGGTATTTCTTTCCATGATTTTATTTTTCTGCACGATGAGCTACAAGCCAATCTTAAAATAATGATAGCAAAGAATTATTATTTAGTATTAACGAGACATAGAAATTTCGTTTAAATGGTAGTAATAGAAAATACTTTTCATGAAAACTCGCTTCTTTATTAATAAAGGATTGCAGTAAACACAATAAATAATTGATATATAAAAATAACAATTTTTACCTTACATTTATTTCTGTTGCAAAAATTATTTTTTTCCTATATAGTCTATTCATAATACCTCCGATACACTTTATTGCGATCATATTAAAGATGTAACAAGTTTAAAAACGGTAATACCAAATGATAGACTGGGACGTAATTTTTTTTCCACTAAACTAATATAAAAGTAAAAATACTTTTTATCAAATTGAACTATATAATCTTTAATTAACTTGTAAGTTTGTATAACATTTGATACATTTTAGGCAAAAATCTTTTTTTTTTTTGATTTCGTGATGTTTAGTACGACACTGATAATAATTAATTAATATTATCGATATTTTTGATAATTTTGATCTATGCTAAGAAGAAAACAGCTTAATGTTATTATTCACAGAAATCACTTTTCTTTGTACATTTTATTTTCATGTTATTATAAACTCATTATTTAAATTTAAATTCGCGATAAACCACGTGTTATAATTAAATTGTTACTTAATTGTCATTAGCAATGCAAATATAACATTATCTTTAAATGATTCCATTTTAAATATATAAAATACTTGCTATTTTCTTATTGTGTATATTATTTCTTTTTAGGTAAAACTAAATTATTAAGTCTTTCATGCATACTGCAGATAAAAAATTATAAAAATGGATATCGATATATTTATCTGTGGAAATAAAATAAGCTCTTAAAAGATTACTCTATTAAGTTACTATTAAGGTTACATTTTGTATTTAGAAAGTATAATAAAAAATACAATGATAAACTGTAATTTATATTCTGATAATTAAGTTCCATCATTCTGTGTAATGAAAACGTTGTTCACTTATAGATAGGCCTAGTTATTATATATTATTCCATGAACATGAAAACTGATTTCATTCTGGGGCAATTAATTTTGATATTCTATTAATTTTAAAGCCCAAATAAGCTGATTCTAAAACGATATTTGTTATAATCTGTGTCACGCATTAAAGAATGATATAATAATACACTAACGAAGTTAATTGGCTTATTAATGTTAAAAAAAATATCTTACATATACTTTTTGTATCTGTAATATGAGGATTTCATGTACTTGTAAGATGTGGAAAGATTTTGTCGTATATTTAAAGTTCCTTCCATATGAAAAAGAGCAAAACAGCCCCCCCTTATGATAGCGTTCAGTAATGTCAGTGAATGCTTTTTACGTGGAAGACTATTTGCTTCACTATTGTTATAAAATAGTCCTGTTTAAATGCTCGACGTACTTGCCTCCTGTTTATAAAAAAATAAATGTTTTCCAAATCAAAAATTTTTAGACTGTTCACTTAACCTAAATGACTATTGGATTGAATGATATATTTACGTTAGGTATCATTTTGAACAAAGATCCCTTTTCCTATTACCACACACTACTTACACCTCCAGGTAAAAACTTGCCACTTTAATTTACTTTTCTGTTTTTTGCACAAAAATTTAAACATAATTTTCAACTACCATGCCACTTAAATGGTTTATCTTCACCCTTCGTCATAACAAAAACTATATGACTGCGAAATGAATCATGAACCATTTAAAAAAATAAGAATGAATTAAAATTAAAATACTTATAACAAAATACTAATATGAATGGAATTTTATGCAACAAAATGTTTAATGATATCTAAGACCGACTATTACAAAATAAAGACTTACCAAAAACTAAGACTTATACCATAAAAATATTATTATGTAATAAGAAAGTTTAAAAGGCTTGTAATTTTATTATTTTCAAAAGAAATTAATTATATATACATATATAAACAATTGAAGGTAATCCATTCAAAGTACACCTTTTTATAAGACTTGTCCGTACATTTTTTGTTCCTCTTAAGTGCTTCAGTTTCTCAATGTTGAATTTTTACTTACAATTCGTCAAGGGTTTTTGACCTTTTACAATTTCTTTATGGTTACTTCATCTGAAAAGGAAAATGGATGTTTTAAACACATTCTTCTGTGGCCATAATATCGTTATTCGTATACGTGTATAAAATTAAAAATTATATTATTAAATAAATTGTAAGACTATAATGCGTATTTTTAAAGCATTTTGTTTGTTAGTTTTTTCTCTAATTTCTATAAAACTGTAAAGAATGTTTTTTTTAGAAAATAGATAATGTAATGTAATAATGTAACAAAATTATATTACCGTCTTTGGTACCTCGTGCTTTATAAAGAAAATAACATATTTATAATTTTGGTTTGGTGAATCTGTTTTTGTGAATCACTGATTTATTTGATAATAATTTGAAGACTTAAAGAATATTCTGTACATATAAAGAATATTTTGTAAAAAAAACTTATGTAAAGGTTTATATTGTATAATATCGATTAGCCTTTAATATATTTCTTACCTTTTTCAAATTCTAAATTGTTACTTTGGGACCAATTCACAAAGAGAGTATTCATAATTCTTAACTTCAGAATATTAAAAAAAATATATCTCACATGTAACATTATATTGGTTTAAAAATAAGGATAGTCTTAAAGACATTTTCCTTCTGCATTTATTCCTTGAATGACTAAAAAGAATATATGAAAACTATTACAAACTAACATTTAACAGATAAACATAGAATATATTGAGAAAACTTTGTATATATTTACGACGCAAGTGTTAGTAGGAAATAAAAATCATTTCATTTAATGTTGATAATTTTTTTATAAATATATTTTCTTTAGAAACAGTTTGTACTAAATTCACCCGTCACAGTGATGAGATTGTTGAGACAGCTTCTTCAACACTAAGTCTCAAAAATTCAAATTAACTACCGAATTTACAAACCCTCTCACGTCTGGCTCCATTCTTCGCACCAGACAAATACTTTTAAGAGAAGTGCTTACTTACAGAATTGTATCATTTATTCACCCTCAGCGTTTATTGCATGTGTAATTCAAACTGAGTATCCCACTTAGGAGATTTTACGACCTAATCGTTCTCAAGCGGAATTCAGATTCGGAGTTTAATGTTTTTTTTAAATGAAAGCTTATTTGTCTTTTAAAGATCTCATTAAAGTGTTTAAATTCAAGAATTTATACTCATCGTTACAGCATCAGTTACTTTGAAGTGTGATAATGATGTAAATATGTAGTTTTGTGTGATGTAATGTGTAAGATTTTTATGTTGAAATATTAATTATCAACCTTTTTTATGGAGAAATAATTTGAGATTGAACAGTGTACAAAATATTACTAGACATGTCATGTAATTAAAGTCATACTAAAATAAACAAGTAAATATTTTGTTAGTTTAGGACCTCAACTTACTACTTGAGAAACTCAGATTATTTTTTATTGTAGAAAGAATAATGATATTTAAGTATTTTAATTTAAATCAAAAATACATACAAAAACTGATTAGTACTTTATGTAAAATATCTTGTAATAAATAATTGGATAACTCACTTAAATATAACTATATAAAATACATAAACAACAATTATTTTTTAATCGACATTAGATATAACAAGTTCGTGTGCATTTTGATAGATATATAGACATGTATTTATCCCCTTTACAATTCTTAACATCAAGATTTATTAAATCGACGCCTTTACTGGCTATATAAATGGATATTTATTCGCCAGACTTTTATATTTCAAGATATTACGTGTACCTATGTAGAATTTTAGATAACGCGTTTATCCTTGAAAACTAGGAAGTCTTGAATTCATTACAGTAGTCACATATATTACGAGTAAATCCAGATAGTAAGTAATGGAAAATGGAAGAAAATTATTATTTTTTATTTTAATCATATTTATTAAAAAACAGACATACAGACAGACGATATTTATTTAAAATTCTGCATGATATACACATTGTTAACCGAAATGTCTTCAACAATGTGAATTATATTGATTCAATAAAATTTATAAATAATTTTACAAAATACAAAATCATAGGAAACTTAGAAGATAATAAATACTCATGATTTTATACAGCTCCAAATATGTTATTAGAAATAGTGTGAATCCTTTCTTTATGTATACAAAGGCGTAACATTTTTTTTTATAATCTCTATAGTATAAAAAGAGTCATTGTTTACAACATCCAATTCTAAAATTACTATGCGAATCTAATCTTAAGTCATATGTTATACATATTAATTGATTATTATTTATTAAGAATATTATTGTTACCACGAACAAATTATGAAAGGAAGATTCTAAAAAATTACACATGACACACTTAACTGCATTAAAATAAATGTATCATTATACATATATATAATGTATGGACACTAAATAAATATGAGTATTTTATAGGTCTTTAGATATAAAATATATTTCTTACATATTAATAACATTAATTAAACCGTTTTTATATATTTTTATTAGTTTTATAATATATAAGTCTTTGATTTTGGCATGGATAAATAAGTCAGATAACTCATTGTAAAAATAACACCACCTAAATATTGGAAATTTGGCATAACTGAAATAAAATGTTATGTGTTAGAAACGAACCTAAAACGCAATAATTTCCGAGTAAATGGGACTTAAAGTTACGCGTTAATAGAGAATAAGAACAATCCAAATCATTAAACAAGGAAGAAAATCTATAAATAGTTTAAGAATAATGAGGACATATTACGTTGTTTAATATCATATTGTAGTATTTAATAATGAAATTAATTCCTTTTTTCAATTCAATTTCAACAATAAACAATATAAATGTAGGTTGGTTTCTGCGAGAAGTTAGTTTATTTTCCCGATCAATAACTATTAATAACAATATATAAGTTTTAGTAAAAAAAACTTCATATTGTACCACAAAAATTAAATTTAACAGTTATCAAAATTTTATGAGTGTAAATGATTATTTCTTTCATTCATGCAAGATCATTCAAGAGCAGTCGTTTCAAGTGGTCACACATGACATTCAATAATGTTTGTTTTAATAAAATTGTGCTCGATTTTCATTTTATTAATTGGTGTTCAAAGTAATCCGGATAGAAGAAAAAGTTACTCAGAATTAAAATCATGTGATGTCGGACCTTTGGCAGAAGAAATAGCATCCTATGAATCCGTGGTCAAAGAAATCATAAACTACGTAACGAACGGCCCGTTTAAAGGAAAAACATATGATGAGTATGTATTAACAATTTTAATCAGAGTGAAGCATTTATAATAATGTTTTCAAAAAAAAATCTTTTATTAAAACATTTCTTCATTATAGAATGGATAACAGTTTTCTAAACAGTATACTCGTATGATTAGCCTTTATCTCATTTTAAGATAAAATTGAGGAGAACACCTGGCTGTATGAAATCATCGATGCTTCAAACTGGCTTAAGTATTAAGGATCAGTTGGATGTTATAAATGATAAAATAGACAGAAGCTTGTTTTTATCAAATAAATAAAAAAACAACCCACCTGTTTAGTTCAAAATGGATCAATGGGATCACATCTTTAAAACCCCTTTAACATATAATATTTAACCGAGGCCAAGCTTGACCCATAAATGATAAAATTTGTTTCAACATTTTATACGAAGAGTTCATAAAACAAATAGCTACTTTTAAAAAAATAAATGAACATGTATGTCGGAGTTAGAAGCACATTGTCGTTTTTAAAAGAGTAACGTCAGCATACCTGACGTTACCAATGACTTTGTTCTTAACTCTCGTCAGGCTCTAAAGCTATTGAAACTAACCTCATAGCCGTTTGACGAATTCCTTACTTCAAAGAGGTGCGATCCCTGCAACGGCTCGAACGAGTATCCTCCTTTGTAATTACAATATACCAACCATACCAACTTCTATATACCAACCGACACTCATTGTTGTAACTACACTTGCATAGGTGGAGGTGGTTATTTGGAAAACACCTGATAATTTGATCTACCCTTAGTTATTGATTAAACAAATAATAGGAATTACGCCTATATATGCATTATTATACTACTTCGATTTTATATAGTTTAAAATAAGTAAGATTCTATATGGTTTAAAATATGTACATTCCTCATTATCATGTTGCAGATTATCGAAATTCGTCGATACTTTTGGTGCTCGTCCCTCAGGATCTCAAGTACTCGAAGACTCCATTGATTACATAATTCAGCTGACTAAGGAAGAGGATATAAACGACATCGTTACACAGGAACTAGAGGTAGTTAAGACCAATTGCCAATACGCATTACAACCATTTATCACTGATTTACACGTTGCATATCCTTTCTCTGGTATTGCGTTTCATTCCATTATTTTTAAAACAGTTATTAACTTAGCTGACCAGCTCTCAAAAGTCTTAGATCTCATTAACAAAACCAAACCTGTTAAGTCACTTTAAACAACATTTTTTTTAAATGTTAATTCTAACAGGTACCACTTTGGATGCGAGGAAAAGAAGAAATAACTATGATTGAACCACGGAAAAAAAATATTGACTTATTAGGTTTAGGACAAAGTGTAAGTACACCACCTGAGGGTATAACCGCTGAGGTAATTGTGGTACATAACTTCGACGAGTTGTCTGAGATACCTTACGAAGACGTTGAAGGTAAAATTGTATTATACGACCCTATCTTTACGACATATGGTGAAACAGTTGCATATAGATCACATGGTGCTGTCAGAGCAGCTGAAAAAGGAGCGGTTGCGTCATTAGTGAGATCTATTGCCCCATTCTCTATTAATTCACCTCATACCGGCTTACAATATTATAATGATAATGTTAAAAGGATTCCAACTGCAGCCATATCCATCGAAGATGCTGATTTAATGAGAAGACTGTTTAATAGAGGTAAAAAAATTGTCCTAAACATAACAATGACGTCCACTTCTGAGACGAAAACGTCCAGGAATACGCTTATCGACTTAAAAGGAAGTTTAAACCCAGAAAAGTTAGTTATTGTTTCTGGTCATATAGATAGCTGGGACGTCGGACAAGGAGCTATGGACGACGGTGGTGGCTTATTTGTTAGTTGGGCAGTGCCAGTCATTTTGAAACAACTTAATATGAAACCAAAGAGAACTATAAGGTCTATATTCTGGACGGCTGAAGAGTTAGGGTTAATTGGTGCTTACGCCTATGAGGAAAAACATAGAAATGAAAGTCATAACATAAATTTCATAATGGAGTCCGATGAAGGTACATTCGCTCCACGTGGATTGGTTGTTGGTGGAAATCAGAAAGCTCGATGTATTATAGCAGAAATTTTAAAACTATTTGAGTCTATAAATGCTTCTACTCTCGTTGAAGCAGATAGTCCAGGGACTGATATTAGTGTTCTCGTCAAAACTGGAATTCCAGGAGCTAGTCTTCATAATGCAAATGAAAAGTATCTTTGGTTTCATCACACCGAGGGAGATACTATGAACGTAGAAAGTCCTGAAGAACTTGATCTATGTACAGCATTCTGGACTGCGGTGGCATATATAATTGCAGATATCTCTGCTGATATACCGCGATAAAATTTAGACGAATTCTTTTATTGACATTTAATTATTGACATTAAAATTATTGTCATTCATTCATTCGTCTTTAATTATATTAGTGGAAGATCATTTTTCATTTTATTTAGTTACCTCTACTACAATATTCCATTTTTGTGTCTGAATTCATACTTCTTATTTTTAAATAATTCGACAACTTATTTCTTATATCGTTGATGGAATGCCGAGAAAGAATGCCAGGTTTTTGTCCGTCAGGATCCCTATATAGTCTGGCACTTCTGGGCACTTCATATGTGCTTTTAAAATGGTCGTAAATTTGTTTGTTGGTCAAGTGAAACTTTCCGCATTCTTTCTTAAAAGTGGTTTTCAAATACTCAAAAGGGTTTTTATCCAAATCTTCTTCATGTTTTGCACGCTCAAAACTATTGTGATATTGTGCAATATTCGGAAATGTTTTTGAATTAATTTTTCGAATTGATCTTAACACCCAGGCTCATTGGTGGCTAAGATTATTGCTGCCTAGGGCTTTAGATATACGTAGATTTTTTTATTAATTTCCGTCTGTTCCTCATCATTTTGACTATTTATTTGGTAAACTACATATTTGCTTCTTTATTGTTCTAAAATAGTCGTGTTTAATAATTAAATTAATTATTACTCAACGTATCTGCTTCCTATTTATTAAAAATAAATATTTTTCCAAAGCAACCAATTCTTACGCTGTTTGTTTAACCTAAATTGCTATTGGGTAATGTATGATATTTACGTAAAGTATTATTATGTACAGAGAACCTGTTCCTTATTACCACGCACTATTTACACCTGCAGATGAAAACTTCCACGCTTTAGTTTACCTTTCTGCTCTTTCCACAACAATTTCAAAGTAATTTTCAGCTGCCATCCCACTTAAAGGCTTTATCTTCCCCCTATTCACAATGAAAACTCTTTGACAGCGAAAGTAATAATGAAGAAATTACTCCAAAAAAACATTAAAATAATAAGAATCTGGATTGAAATTTAAATATTTATATAATAAATACTTATATGAATGGAATTTCACCCAACAAAATGTTTAATAATATTTAAGAACTACGATACTAATAAATAAATGCCCATATCATAAAAAAACACCATCATGAAATAAGAAAATATAAATGCATACATACATACATACATACATTCAAAGAATACCTTTTTATTCGACTTGTCCATACATTTTTTGTTCCTCTTAAGTGCTTCAGTTTCTCAATGTTGAAGTTTTACTTACAATTCGTCAAGGGTTTCTGATTTTTCACAAGGACCTTACTGTTACCTCATCTGGAAAGAAAAGTAAGTATTACTGGATACTGGATAAATACTGCAAAACTTAGATTTTTTTGTAAAAGTAATTATGAAATTAAAGTGTTTTCATTAAAATCGATGACACAAAAACTGCGCAGTAACTTATGCAAGATATCATGTAATCAATAATTGGATAATTCATTTAAATAGAACCCCATATAAAATACATAAACAACAAATATTTTTTTACTCGACATAAGATATAACAAGTTCATGTGCATGTGATATGAATATATTTATCCCCTTTACAATTCTTAACAACTAGATTTTTCTTGACTTGTATATCCCAAGATACGACGTTTATGTAAAATTTTAGATAACACCTTTATCCTTGAAAACAAGGAAGTCTTGAATTCGATACAGTATTTACATATATTATATCAGGATAGTAGTAGTTGTAGTAATAGTAATAAAAGAAAATTCTATTTGTTTTATTTTAATCGTATGAATCTCTTTGAAGGACAACTCACAGACGATATTTATTTAAAATTTTGCATGTTAACCGAAGTGCGTTTAACAATGTAAGTTATATTGATTTTCAAAAAAAAATATTACTACTTTTACAATATCAAACGAAACTTAGATAAAAGATAATAAATATGCATGATTTTATACAGCTCCAAATATGTTATTGAAAATACTGTGAATCCTTTCGTTATGTATACAACGGTGTAACATTTTTTTATAATCTCTATAGTGTATGTTATTTTTTTATAAAGATAGTATAAAAAGTTATTGTTAACAACATTCGATTACAACATGACTATGCAAATCTACTCTAAAGTATACATATGTATATATATTCACATTTATTTCGAATATTAAAGTTACCATGAACAAATTATGGTGTTTATAAAATTGTTTCACAAATTGAGACAACAACCTCTTTTGATGGGAAGCATCTAAGAATTGACACATGACATACTTGACTGAATTAATATTAATATTTATAATGTATGGATAATAAATAAATTTTATGAATCACAAGTGACTATCTCATAGGTATCTAGCGATAAAAAATATTTCTCCATATTAATCACATTATTTAAACCATTTTTTCATACATTTTCATAATCGTATGATATAAAAGAGTCTTTGATCAATGCATGGATAAATATCAAACTTGAATAAGTCAGCTAAGTTACTATAAAAATAGCATCACCTATTTGGAATTTTGCATTACTGAAATACAATGATTTGTGTTCGAATCGAACCTAAAACGCAAAAATTTCCAAGCAAATGGAATTCTAAGCCTGAGGTACGAATGTACTCAATATATTTTCATTAATTCCCTAATTGAGAGAAGTACATATCTTAAATAGAGCTAAATACGGTAACAGAATATTTTTTGCATATAAAATATAAAAAGATACAATAACAACTTCCCGGAACCGTTAATATTGTTATTGATAAATTATTTTCTTCAAGCTCTATTTGTTACAGTGTTTTTTATTATAAATATGATATTACATCATACGATTTAAAGTAAAACTTTATATTTTCATATTGTCACTTTTGATACTGCTTATATTTTAAAATATATTTTTTGCCAAACAACAACATTTTTTGAACGTGCCAAAGTTTTAAACGTAGAAATATGTACAGAATATAGTTACTCTATATTATATGTAGTTAGTTATATATAGTTATGTTATGCATAGTTAGTTGTTCCAATAAGTTCGTTGACACTCATCCATCAACATAAATATTATATTTTATGCCTACTAGAAGATGCTTTATGCCTTAATAGTTAGTCTAAAGTAGAAATGTATATTGCTTTCTGCGAGAGTTTGTTTATTTTTCCGATCTACAACTATAAGTAACAATAAATAAATTTTAGTAAAAAAAACATTCTTAACAATTTACCATCATTTTGTGCCAGAAATTCGATTTAATGGTTGTAAAACTAATAATTCGTTTTTATAGTTATAAAAATAATTTTATTTGTGCAAATGATAATTTCTAAATAGGAATCTAAATATATGTAGCTATATTTTGTATAATGTATTTAAATTTTACCGAAACACAATTGACAGTTACAATGTTCTTTGTCTATGAACAACCTAAGACTGACCTTAAAATAACTATGTATAATGTACATCCTGTCATAATAAACAACTCACTCAGATACTATAGAACGGTGTTCATTCATACAAGATCATTCTTCAAGAGCAGTCGTTTCAAGTGGTCACACATGACATTGAATAATGTTGTTTTTAATAAAATTGTGTTCGATTTTCATTTTATTAATTGGTGTTCAGTGTTATCCAGATAAAATTAAAAGTTACTCAGAATTAAAATCATGTGATATCGGACCTTTGGCGGAAGAAATAGCATCCTATGAATCCGTGGTCAAAGAAATCATAAACTACGTAACGAACGGCCCGTTTAAAGGAAAAACATATGATGAGTATGTATTAACAATTTTAATCAAAGTGAAGCATTTATAATTATGTTTTCAAAATAAATCCTATATTAAAACTTTTATTCATTTTAGAATGGATAACAGTTTTCTAAACAGTATATGATTAGCCCGTATCTTATTTTAAGATAAAATTGAGGAAAACAATTGATCTTATAAATTCATAGATACTTCAAACTGACTTATGTATAAGGACCTGTCGGATATATCATAAATGATAAGATAGAGAGATGCTTGTTTTTTTCAGACAAAAAACAATCCACCGGTGTTCAAAATGAATGTCTGAGCCCCGTGTTTACTACTACAAATACTATTAAAAGAACCCCTTTTTTATCAGTTATTTAAACGAGGCTAAGCTTATTCCAGAGAAGATAAAAATCGTTGCAGTATTTTAGACTAAGAATTGATAAAACAAATAGCTACTTACAAGTTTATTGTTATTTCTATACAAATCATAATAATAATTTGTTGTTTTCTAACAGAATTATTAAAAATATAAGTACATATATTCATCATTTTTGTTGTAGATTATCGAAATTCGTCGATACTTTTGGCGCTCGTCCCTCTGGATCTCAAGTACTCGAAGACTCCATTGATTACATGATTCAGCTGACTAAGGAAGAGGATATAAACGACATCGTTACAGAGGAACTAGAGGTAATTAAGGGCAATTGCCAATACGCATTACAACCATTTATCACTGATTTACACGTTTTATATCCTTTCCCTGTTATTGTGTTTCATTACAATACTTTTAAAACTGTTTTTTATCAGATAACTTACTTGAACAAACACCTGCGTGCTTATCAACAAAGCTTTTTCGAAGGAAACTTCGTTAATGAATAAGTTTTAAACAAATATAACGTGCGAGGCATAATATGTCCATTGTCCATACTGACCCTATCGGGTAAAAATTTTTCGTCAGAAAATTTAAAAAAGTAAGGCTAGTATTTTTCACTGCTTTTACAGTACAAAGAAAGATTTTTAGAAAAAAATATTATTTGAATTAAGTTTGTTTTTTTTTTAATCGCTTTCGAATTTTAATTTTAGAAAACTGTTCCAAATTCTATACACGTCTTTCTAATTTACCTTCCAAATGATAATTGGGAACTTGAGAGAATAATCTTAAAGAGAATACCCGTATTTTTAAACTATTCGTTAATCAAAATTCATACAGAAATTATAGAACCCTTGAATTTTATGATTCGAATCGAACTTGTGTCGATGAATTTTTCATCTTAAATTTTCAATTTGAATAAATATTTGAAGTGCTAGTTCAATATCGCTTTAGTGCTTCCACGATAATGATACAAATATAAGTAATTAAGTTTATAAAATCACTGCTTTCACAGAAAACTTATTAGAAACAAATCTGTTAACTGAATTAAAATAAAATTTTCATTAAATTTAAATTTTAACAGGTACCACATTGGATGCGAGGGAAAGAAGAAATAACTATGATTGAACCACGGAAAAAAAATATTGACTTATTAGGTTTAGGACAAAGCGTGAGTACACCTCCTGAAGGTATATCCGCTGAGGTGATTGTGGTACATAACTTCGACGAGTTGTCTGAGATACCTTACGAAGACGTTGAAGGTAAAATTGTATTATACGATCCTATTTTTACGACATATGGTGAAACAGTTGTATATAGATCACAGGGTGCTGTCAGAGCAGCTGAAAAGGGAGCGGTTGCGTCATTAGTGAGATCTATTGCCCCATTCTCTATTAATTCACCTCATACCGGCTCACAATATTATAATGATAATGTTAAAAAGATCCCATCTGCAGCCATATCCATCGAAGATGCTGATTTAATGAGAAGACTGTTTAATAGAGGTAAAAAAATTGTCCTAAACATAACAATGATGTCCAGTTCTGAGACGAAAACCTCCAGGAATACGCTGATCGATCTAAAAGGAAGTTTAAACCCAGAAAAGTTAGTTATTGTTTCTGGACATATAGATAGTTGGGATGTCGGACAAGGAGCCATGGATGACGGTGGTGGCTTATTTGTAAGTTGGGCAGTGCCAGTCATTTTGAAACAACTTAATATGAAACCAAAGAGAACTATAAGGTCTATATTCTGGACGGCTGAAGAGTTAGGATTAATTGGTGCATACGCCTATGAGGAAAAACATAGAAATGAAAGTCATAACATAAATTTCATAATGGAATCCGATGAAGGTACGTTCTCTCCACTTGGATTGGTTGTTGGTGGAAGTCAGGAAGCTCGATGTATTATAGCAGAAATTTTAAAACTATTTGAGTCTATAAATGCTTCTACACTCGTTGAATCAGATAGTCCAGGATCCGATATTAGTGTTCTCATCAAAACCGGAATTCCAGGAGCTAGCCTTCATAATGCAAATGAGAAGTATTTCTGGTTTCATCACACCGAGGGAGATACCATGAATGTAGAAAATCCTGAAGAACTTGATCTATGTGCGGCATTCTGGACTGCGGTGGCATATATAATTGCAGATATCTCTGCCGATATACCACGATAAAATTTAAACGAGGAATGCTTTTATTGACATTCAATTATTTCCTTAACCTAATTGCTTGTTTACATTAAAATTATTGTCATTCATTGATTCTTTAATTATATTAGTGAAATAATATTATCCATTTTATTTAGTTACCTCCACTACAATATTATTTTTTAGTGTATGAATTCATACTTAGTATTTTTCGTGATTTGAAAACATACTTAAATTATGAAAATTTTTAAGCATCTAAAAGTACATACATTACATACACATTATATAAAAAAAACAGTATTGGTAAAAATTAAAAATCTTTTTTCTTTATTCAAAAACTGTGCATTCAAAATTATATGTATGCTCTTAAAATTCAAATATCAGGTTTTGATATAACGAAAGTATTAAAAACACCGATATAAATAATTTTAATTTTTCTTGATAAGAATCCACATTTTTTAAACGCAAGTTGATATACTCGTATTGTTAACACAACTTTATTTTGAAAATATTAAACAATTTAAGGCACAATTTATACAAATAGAAATCAGTAAAATAAGAGTATCTGTAGGTAATACCAACATAATCACTTACTACATTCATATGATTGTTTACAGTGTGTGTACCAAAATAACATTGCTTATATTTTTTGTGGTTCTGCGTTTTTCTTTCTGTATTTTTTGTATAATAAATGAAATGTCTAATCCGATTATGAGCCTTCGCAAATAGCTGATGTGTTAAAGAGAATTTATTGCAGAATTTTTATTCACATTTACTATTCATATAATAGATATATTAAAAACTATAATTCAGAAAAGAAATTAACAAATATAGTTTGCCTAATTAATTTACTTATTTATGTTTGAAATTAAATTTTATAGTCTATATTATCTGTAAATTACTCTAGTAGATAGAACGTTTTTGTTTGGTTAAATTAATAATTGTCTATATTTTCCAAATAAGTGTTTTATCCAAATGCAACATTAGCGTTTCACTCAAAGTTAATGTGATATATGTATATACATAGTTTACTATAATGGTTACCTTACATGGTATATTTTTTCATTACTGATAATGAAAATGGCGAAAGTAAAAAGAAAAACCAAAATTAAAGAAAGAGTGTATACTTATTTTATATTTTATTACATAATGAAAATACAAAAATTTAGCTTAGATACATTTGACACTTATATTTATTCAGAATTAAATATAATATAAGAAAATATAATACCCAATTTACTGATGCTTAACCACAACAAGAAATTAAGCTCGTGACCTACATCCTTCAGAAGAAATGCAATTTGTCTTGTTCAATGTAATTCTTTGGTAAATTCCGAGTGTCGAAACATACGACTTATTTACAAAAAAAAAATATCACAAGAATATTTTTTGTACTTTTTGAGTATGACGTAATTAGTGTATGTTTTATCCACTAAGTATTTATCGAGCTAGATTTTTCTCTCTCTCATAAAAAGTCTTCTTAATTTTTGTGTGAACTGTGCCTATAATTTTGAAGAAATGAACCCTAATTGAAGAACGCATCCTGTGATCTTAACGCATTATCTGATTCGTTCTTCGATTACGTACGAGGAGATAAAAAACTTTTTACAAGATCGACAATTTTTTGCTATGGCCATGATATTATGAATTCTGCTATAGTGAATATTTGCTTCGGTACAAAACCGCATTATTTCTAGAAGAACTTAATTTAAATTCTTAATAACGTCGAGGAGACTTATAATAAAATAAATCCTGCCACCATAGCAAGCTGTGTCAGAAATATGTCACGTTAAATACACATGCAAATAAGTTTTCAAGTATACAATAAGGTGAAAACCGCAGTCGTTATGCGAGCTTCCCCCGGGCCTAACAATTTTAATTATGTGTGAATTACGGTAAGTTCCCTCCGACGTATTTAATAAGGACTATCTTATTAACAACTCTCTAAACACCTTCACGCATGCTTCATGAAGTTGACTTTATTTTAAATTAAATTTTAATTAAGTGGCATTATATTTTATAATTCTTATCAACTTCGTAAATATTATTTGGTAATGACGTACTCCAATATAGTGTCTATATTGTTTATAATCTATAAACTTTAAAAAAAAGTATATTGCTAAGAAAAAATAGAAGCGGAATCTATTATAGCAGAATTATTATTGCATTGCAGAAAAAAACATTCTCAATAATTATGTGAAAAAAGTGTGTTAATTCAATTCTCTATACCTTTTAATCTTATCGTGACGGAGCTCTTTTTATTAAATTACACCTTCAACTCTTTGATATTCATATATAATGTATAATTTTACTATTTATTATTATAGTTGTTGTTTTTACACAAAATCATTCTTACTGGCGATTGCTATAATTTGTCATAAAATCTTTAAAAACAATACAGTCATGTTGTTGTAACTATATAATTTTTATTTTCAACATTAAAACAAAAGTACATAACAAGTAACTCATTGGAGAACCTCCGACCGACTTACACAATTGAATTTCTATTTTTCTTAATACTTACCAGCTTTGTAAACAGTCCCAAAACGCTACGTCTGTAAAGAACGAAGTTTATTTACCCGCAGAAAGTTAAAGTATAACAAAATTCGGTTACTCATTTAACAATGTACTTACATTGGAAGTCAAGAAAAGTTTTATATTTCTTATTATTTAGAAGCACAATTACATAATATTATCATCATATTCTTGTAAGATTGTTGTAAATAAGTAAGCTTTGATACATACCCATACCTCTAATCAGATGATTTTTGTCGTATTTATTTGAAAGCTCAGTAACAGGTGAATGAACTGAGTGAACCTATATAGTATTTTGAATATTAAGATTTGAAACAACACTAATTAGGCTGTTAGGCTGTACAAAGTTCTTTATCGCTGCAATAGTAGGTACTTAATGATTAAAATGTAATTATAAATACATAGATCCTAGATTGTATTTAATAAAATAAATAAAATATATGAGGTAAAAATAATAATAATTTATATAATCAAGTATGACACAAATAATAGAACTTCAATCTCAGTTTAAAAGTTGCAGTAGACGAACAGCTTACAACGATATTGCTAGGCTAAGAATTCCTTTACCACACTGTATGAACCGTTAGCATTTTTTAACGAAAGTGGAGTTCTGAGAGAAGATATTTGAGGAAGTAAGGATCTAATTATTCAAATGAATAGGACCCGGATAAGTTTGTGAGCTGTTTCGTGAGATCAAACTTGCGCATAAATAAAATACATGCACAAGTCTTAAAAGCGATCTAGCTTATAAAGTATCCCGTCAAAATCATTTAAATAGCAAATATCATATTTGTAAAGAAGAGGCAACAAAAATTTACATTATTGGAAAAAAAAGGGATATGAGAGAACGTCGCTTTGCCTAACACCGGTATAGAGACCAGCCAGATAAAAGAATGAGTCATCGGAACAGACCATCTGCCATCTGCCGATAGCTGTACAGAGAAACTGCGTATAATTTCCCGCAAAATAACCCTTAAGATAATCTATTAAGATTTTTGAAATAGTCTGTCTAGTCTGAAGATAATCTTTAGGATGTTTTTTACCAAAAACACACCTGATCTCTTCAAAATCTTTGAGCCGTTTGATATCGCGTGTACTGTGAAGTCCGAAGACCTAATTGGGAGGAACTGAGAGAAAATTTTGGTTGAATTTTGACAGTTATGACAAAAATATATTTATTATTACTATAATTCGTAAAAGGAAAAAGAGCAATGATCTTATAAATAAAATAGTATTTTAATTATATACAAATACGAACGAACGAACATTGCGAAACAAATTGAAATTAGGTATACGACTGAAGAAAAGAAATGATTTGACTTTTGAGCAATATTTGGAAACAAGGATTTTTCATGCTATTACCAGTTCATCAATCATGTAATTTAAATCATATATTACTTACTAAAATCAAGCGTTAGATTAGAGACACAAAAATATCAATTCGCTATTAATTAATCTATTATAGTGCTTAAAATTTAATATTATGTAATTTATAGGTAACTAGTGTCCTTATTACAACATTGCATCGCCAAATTAATTAAATTAAATAAGAAGCATCCTGAATTTTTTTACCCATTAACTTTTTTATTTTTGTTTCTTGGTGCAAGTTGATGGTAAGTTTAGGATAGTACTTGTCAAATACTATATATTTAAAATAGTGAGACGCCAATACCTAACTAACTTAAAATCTTCTTCTTCTTCTTCCTGGCAATTTCCCAGCTTTAGCCATCGTCTGCCTTTCCTGTTGTAAATAGTTTAGGCTATATTGTTTTTACGACCGGCCGCCTGCCTGACATCAACCCTCTTTTAGGAAACCCAATAACTATTTTAAATATACCCTTTTAGTATTTTTAATTAGATTTCTATATTTTTAAAATAAAAATCATATTATTTAAATGTTAGCATTAATCAAGTTTAAATTTTGGCATCACCGAATAAATAAATACTGACGAATAATAAACTAAATGTAGCGATGAATTTAGAGAATAAAGCGTTTATGCTATAACTGTAAACTTTTACGACATTGCTTGGCATAATGACGGTACCTCTTGGAAAATAGATATCGGACGGTGGACCCAGTGACTATAAGGGATCTGAATAATAACACTTTGAAATCGTTATGCATTAAAATTTTTGTGACCCAAGCGAAACTGGCTCACATACCTGCTCCTAAAATATTGTTAATCATTATATAGAATAATGACAAAATATTTTTGAATATAAAAAGTATAGAAAGTTTTTTGTGAAAATAATAGTATATTATTAGATAATTTCTGACTGCTGGTTATTAATCTGGATTAAAAATATATTTTCATTTTTAAATTAACCAAGGTCATGCTTATTGAAACAATTAATTATAATTTGTTTGTTTTATTTAATATCTCTAACCTTGAAAGTGTCACTGATACAGGTGAAGGGCCTAAAAGACCTCAGGCGACATACTTCTCGAGAACTTTAATTAGGAACCACAGCTCATTATGTTTTCAGGTTAT